GAAAAGAAAACTTGAAATCGCATCATATGACCCCTTTAATGATAATGCTAATGCTAAAAGCTTTTCACTTGTGTCCTGTTATCTGTAAAGTGCCATTAGCTATCTTTTGCAGTAGAGAGTGAAGTATCCTTCAGCAATGGCACTTAAAGCTGTTTTCAGCTTAGATTTAAAAGTTACCTTGACAGTTAGAAGAGAGATGAACTGGCTCATGAAAAAGGTAAAAGACCATTAATCACAGAGCAAATATTCGGTGGCTATAAGCCTAATGAAAATATAGGCTACTACTCTCTCAGAAGCTATCTCAGATCATTCACAAAGGACAAAAAGTATTCCATACGTCAAAAAGCACCATAAGTCTGTATTGTGCAGAAGTTGCATTGACTCTATATAGTACACAAGTTGCACTGACAAATTTTATAGTGCTTCTTTTGGTGCTTGACACTGCTTGCATGAACAGGCACTGCATAATTATGCTGCTCACAATGATTAAAATAATAAAAATAAAAAATTAGACAAATTGCTTTACATTTACTTAAAGTAGTTTATATTGTTTAAAATGTTATATAATATTCATAGTTTATTTTAAAAAAGCCTTTAAAAAAAGTATTTAAAAAGGCTCAGGTGGTACAGCTGTCCATTTTAAATGCTCGAGTAAAAAAATGACTCTGGCAAAGTTACATGCTGCACAGGAAAGCAAATCATTATCCATTATATCACAGCACAGACTTTTCTGTAGACATGCTCTGTATGATTTACTTTAGGGATTGCATGAGCTTGCAGAGGCTTTTGGTAGCACTACGTCTATCCTGTCAGAAAGTGCAATGTGCTCCCTGGGAGCTGAGGGATACCTTGCTGGATTTGCTTCTCTGCTGCTGGCCACTCAGGCTCTTCCACTCAGATCGATTTACTGTTGAAGCACAGGCCTTAAATCACAGCACCATGGCTGTGCTGACTCCACTCCACTTCACTCCTTGACCTGGGGCGGAAAAAACTCAGCAAGAAACGAACGGCTGTCACAACATCATCTATCACCACCGCTACCTCCATCTCAGGACACAGTCTACCCATGCAACCCCCCCAGGACTCGTGCAAGGTTGGGCACTGTGCTTCAGCTGCATTATATCCAAGTGCTCTCCACAGAGCATTACATCATGGCGAGACCACGCAAGCACAAAGAAATGTTCTGCAACATGTTATTAGAGCTGACATGGAGTAATGCAGTGGTGTGGAAGTCTTATCTGAAAGACAAGAGTAAGAGGTAGGCTGTTATTGTTTGATTCATCTAAAGGCCACAATCTTTTACACACAAGTTATTTATCCGTATACATGGATTTTTACATCAAACATTGTGATGAAACAAATGACTGAAGTGTACAGTGCTTTAATCCAGGTCATATCATTCAGACCTGTAGATCATTTGTTTGTTTTTGTGAAGCAGTAAGTAATCAGACAATGCTGCTTTTACGAAAAGGATTTCCCATTATGAATTATGATACAGGTTGGTTTGTTGATCTTTTGGGTCGGACTGCTTACTCATCATCACAAGCAAACATGTTCGTTTTCAGTCAGGCTGAGTTGAGATCACCTCCTTCAGGCAATCTCGCACTGAGCATTTTGGTGCGGATTCGAGTGCAAGTATGCATTCATATATGCCAAACACACTGAACTATGGGAAAAAACATGCCAGGTTGTAAAACAAACTCTCTAACTGAGCTAGGTGTAAAGCCTGGCACTGAAAATGACCATGTAGAATGGATTAACGTTTTACAGAATAATCGATTATAGGCCAAAACATTCTCAGTGCTCAAGTTTATGTTGTATTCTCAACATTACTACAAAGGGTGCTATACTGGGAATTAGCGTAATGTCTTTATTTACAGTCACTTTTCTTTTCTGGTCAGCTACTGTCAAGATGGAGCAACAGTTAGAAGAGAATCTTCTAAGTCAATATTTTTAGCAACTTATCTGAATAATTACATATTCAGTTTAAAGTATGCATGAAGTAAAATTTGTGTTCGACTTTAGCGGTTCATGGCAAGTTGACAACTAAATTATAACATGCTGACTTTTTGTAGCGTTCTGAATGTTAATTGTGCATAATGAAAGAACATAATCATGTGGCTTATCATCAATAATGTTTTCAAGCACACTTTTGAATTGCTTAATTTTTCATAGCATAGTATTTCTGCATGAGTGACCAATTCTATTTAGAAATGAAGATAATTGCAAATGTACTTATGAATGACTGTAGCTTTGCAAAATGGTCCTCATTTTAATTACTTTTCAGAAGACGGATGGAACCACAATATTTCTTAGAATTAAACATGAACATTTTGCCGTTGACAACAGCAAAGGCTTTAACCATTATCACTTTCATTGTGAAAGTCAATTTTGGCTTTTCAAAACTTTGATTAAATGATTGGATTATTGATTGAGTGACAAGCAAAATCTAGCTACAATACAATTTGTCTACAAATATTTGTCAAAACACGCACAGAGATATAAATTAAGAAGGCAATGGCCTCTGAGAGACCAAAAGAAAACTAGCCTACTTTAGGATTGCTACCTCAGGATCAATAAAATATGAATATATGAGATTAAAATATTAAAATACTATCTCTTGTGGTGCCTTTTGTCTTCAAGCTGTAAAGACCCCAAAAATAGGCTAAAGACTGAGTGTTTAAAGTTTTAGTTATGATCAGTTTAGATTGCGTTATGCTAACATCTTGTTTGAGTACACCTATACAATTACCAAAGTATTAAATCCCAGAGGTCTTTTTGATCTCTTTTATAGCAAGACCATTGACATACTGTCTACCAAGAGCATTCAGGTGGTCTGCAAAACTACTTTATTGCCATGAAGCTGGCGCCAACTCGAGACAGAACCATAGGGTTGTTAAGGTGCAACGTTCCCTCAATCCTTATTGAATCTGCCAAAGAGAATACCCACTGCAGCCAGTTTGATTCACAATTCAATTCCATCTTCAGCAGAAAAAAAGCCCAGAATAGACTAGGGGTTTCTTTAGGTGAGGAAGAATAAACAAAGAATTCAAGTCCGGGAGATAAGGAACACAAATTGAAAAGATGGAGAGGAAGGAAAAGAAGCAGCGTGAGCTCATCTTGATTGAACACGGGCCTAATGGCCTGGGCTCAATTGGATGAACAATCGGACAGATCTACCTTAATGTACACAGAGCCATCAATCTCTTTTTTAACTAGATTACAGCACCCTTTAGGGTTGGTCAGCAGGCAGGGGAGAGGACTGTTGCAGACCAAGCAGGACTTCCTGGCATCAAGCTGTAGGATCAGCTATTGTCTGAATACAGCCCTCCCTGTTCGGCAACCCCTCTTCCTATTTCTAATCTACTCTGCAGTATGCCATGTCTCAACTAATTAAATGGCATTAACTTGGACTAGAGCCTATCACTAAAACCAAGCACTCACATTGATTCCATATTGACTAAATTTGTCCAGCACTCAGGAGAACGCATGTATGGTGCCTGCATTTCTAGATGCTTTGAACTGGTTTTCAGATCTTTTATGAAAAAGTATTGACTAAATAATATTTTAAATTACCATAATTACTTTCAGATTGTTAGATAAAGGTGTGTTTAAACTGCACTAAATAATCCTGGTGGTGTTTACCAAGGGAATAAATCAAAATATCGGCCGGTTCATATTTAAGAGCCAATGAATGATCGCTGTAATTAAACAGAAGCAACACATTGGAGACATGGTGTCTGAGGTGCTGGCAGACTCTGACTCAGTCCATAAAACAAGACCTATAAATTAAGATTCAATTTATTCTGGGTGGAATTTATTGCTTTGGTGATTTAGTGGAGCAACCTCATTTAGGATGATCACATCAGAGGGCTTCTCAGTCTAATTAAATCTGAAGAAGGAGGGGGTATTAGTGCAAAAGTGTAAGCTGTCACCACGCACTGTAGTTTGGTAGAGGAAGAGGTGGGAGAAGGAATTAAACTTAAATCATATTTCAGATTACAAAAAAAGATCTTGCTGATAACGTGTCTATATATAACCAACATTCGTCATGCCTTTCTGTTTCTATTTAAATCCTTACTAGGTATATGGATCTTAAGCAGGGTTGATGCCATATTTAAATATTTATGAATGAAAAAGCCTACAAGGGATAGACACATTGTCTGTTCAATACTGCCCTTTATAAAATACTTTACTGTCTTTAATGTACAGTACTGTCCATAAACGTATATATGGTAAAATAGGCTAATAATAATATATAGCCTACATAGTAATATAATATAATAACATTGTTTATACATACATATATATGAGTGGCATTCAGGTACAAAATACACCATTCCCACTGAGCAATAGTCTTGTTTTTCCAGTTGTATATGAGCAGAAAATATACATAAATGAAAATGCACATATAAAGTTAAACAAACAGAAGTGTTTGAATAGTATGTTGTATTGCCTCCATGATCTAAAGCTTCAAACATGAAAACTTAAAAACTGAATATGTAATATCATTAAGCACACAGCTTTAAACTGGACTAAACTGTAGTTTTAGCACTAGTGCACTATGTTTTGTAATGTAATAATTAGAAAATACCCACGTTTTTGATCCATCAACCAATAATCATCATTCACACACAAGCCTAACTGGACTAGAACTGTTTATAGACTGGCACCTGCACTTCCTGTTCGAGATTTTACTGCACTTTGCTCCAGTACTTTAGCACTTTTACTGCCAGTTACAATTGCTTTATTTTGGCATTCCATGTCCTATTTCAGAATTAGACTAACTACGCATATGGATCATTTATTGAAGTCTCTTTAATTAAAAATTATTTTCCTGCTGTTAATCAAATCCCATGTGGATGTTAATACATCCACAGAAAACGGCCTTTAATTTACCACACAAGCTAAAATTAAAATTCTGCCACCTAAACAAAAGCTGTGGATGGCAAACTGGCCCCCTCCCCCTCGGCTCTCTCCTTCACTGCCTCATGTGCTCTGTGTCTGTCTGCTCTGCAGAGTACATTCAACTCGCCCCGAATACACGCTCACTGTTTGACGCCGTGACCTAACCAAACGTAACCTAAGGGTCCTCGTTAAATACATCGCTTTATCTCAGTCCGGAAGCGATAGAAAACGTGTGACTACGTCGCTAATGTAAATGGCTAGCACATTAATAATAGTGCGTTATCTTTACGCGCGTCTCTCACTGGACGCTTTCACGTCAGGTGGTGCTGTCCAAGTAATGAAGAGGTGAATCCCCAGTCTACAGTTTTGGTACCTACTTGAGCACCGGCGTTCGAGTCAACCGAGTCAGCGTGGGTTCTCCGTGGCGTTTTGAGTGTCAGTAACTAAACTGACATCTTCTTATCATGCCTGGCAAGAAATGAATCCTGATTCAGCGCTCGGTTCACACAGAATCGCGCGCGGAGAGAACTTTGCTTTGGAACTCTTGTGCGGTGGAAACGGCACGCGCCACGACAGCCCGCGGAGGATCAACAACTTTCCTCAGAAGCAGCGCTAGCGTCCTTCCTATGTCACCTCAAACCCTTCCATGTCACCAATTATTGTTGCTTTAATTGGACGAGAATGTTTCAGAGACCGTGTCTGCTCAAACTCGGGGAAAACATCGTTGGTAAGCCTTGAGAAGCGGATAATAAATGACTTTTATGCGCCTCAGACTCGCGTCCTCGCCAGGTGGACTGTGAAGAGACCGAAAGAGGAATGTTTATCCGAAATTTATTGCCGCTCAGTTTGGGTTTTTTGCCGTTTTTGTTAAGTCACTGTTTTCTCTCACTGTTTTTTCCGTTATTTCAGGTAAGTTGGACTGAGCAGTTCAGTCGTTTATAATAATTCGTTGTCATGTTCAATAACTGAGCGTCGCGGATGCGCACGTGCATAACGGTCACTGAATCTCTGCTGCGATGAAATGTATGAACATATCTAGTTATTTAGATATCTACTTATGTATTTGTATACCTATGCACTGTCAGATACAGTTGGCAACTATAAAATCATAAATGGCATTTATATAATTTTTTTGTTTAATCAGTATGTTTAGATTTAGATAGCACTTTGATGCACTTAAAGTAAAATATCCATGGACATATGTGTGTAATATTTTGACCTTACACATCTAGTATTTCTACAATAGTAGTATTTATTACTAGTGTAGTGCACTAGTATGCACTACATTTTATTTAAAGTGCATCCCCTCCTCTTGGTTCCAGCACCAGCTAAAGTCATAGATACTGAACAGTGTTCAGTTCTGGAGAGATGGCTTTTGGTCCTTTACTACTGTCCCCCGTGGCAACAGCACTCACAAGACTAGGAGAAGTGTTTCCTGGATGGCCTATTAGGGGGTGGCAGTGTCAGGGTTCACCCCTCCTTACTCCCACTCTTCTGGGGGTCTGAGGCTCTGCGGTGTGGGTGGGTGCTCTCTTTGAGAGACCTCAGCCTCCACACACCCTTCAGTCTCCACTTTAGTGGGAGGGAGCTCCCATTCGCCAGCATGCGGAGAGAAAATACGAGAGAGTGCTTGTTGTTATGATGTTCTCTTCATTGTAAATTCTAAGGGCTATTGCGAAAAATCTAATTTTACTATTGCAGTTTTTGCTGTGCTATACATGGCATGATGATGAAAGTGTCAAAAACTAAATCTAAGTTGTGCTCTGTTCTTCTCCCTAGTTTGCAAGAGGGGAGCTCCAGAAATCATGCTCCCGAACCACAGTGGCACCGCTGGAAGGGAGCTGCCAGTTGCCATGCCAGTGTAGGCCCTACCCACCGTTACCCCCTCCACCCCCTCCTCCACCACCCCCGAGGCTCTTGGCTCCAACTGGTGAGTAGTGCTACCCTCTAATGTCTCTGCAGTCTTACTTCATTGTTTTCAGTCACATGACTGGCACAGCGACCTGGAGGGCTAAACATCCATAGAACTGCAGCCCAGGCCTGTCAATTTTCTATCTGTTTCAAGCTACAAATATTTAGACCACCTCTCAAAAGTAGAAAAACAAAGGTGTATATAAACAAACTGCAAGCTTTAGGCACTTGATATATAATATATATATGTATATGACATTACCTACCATGGTATTTCAATCACCAAAACAGCAGGACATTCTAAAATACTTATTAACATGGCTCAAAAGAGAATCAAAATTCTGTTCTCATTTACTCACCCTCATGTCATTCAAAACCTGTATGACTGACTTTCTTCTGTTGAAAGAATGTTTGTATTGAAACAATTTCGGTTATGACTGATTTGGCCATTGTATAAACAAAGCTGCTTGGTTTGACAGTGTGTGAGTGGTCTGTACATCACTACGTTATTGACAATGGACCTTGTCAATGCTTTTATGCTCACTTTATTTTGCCTAGATCCGCTAATGTGACCGCACCTTAAGAAAGTGATATTAAAAGTATAAAGTGATATTCAGTATAAAATTTATTTATGAGGCCTACTATATTCAGGCGAGCAGATGAGCCCAGAATTGTGAATGCAATGTGCATGTTAAGCATTTTCTTTCTATAATGGTTTTCTATGGGAAAACGTTGAACATAAAACTTTGTGTGTTGGTTCATATTCTGGGTCCATCTGCTTGCCTGTACATAGTATGTTTTATTAATAAGGAGTATATTAAGTTTGGTCCTCCAATATCACTGTCTAAAGCCACATTAAATATTTTCTTTAAATGGTTTTCTATTTTGAATTTGGCATGTTGCATTTATATTCTGGGTGCATCTGCTTGCCTGTAAATAGTGGGCATCATCAATAACATGTATGCTACTTAATATCACTGTCTTAGTACATTAGCACTTAGTACAAACTGGCTGGCAGCGGAAGAAAGCTTTGTTTTGCCCTTCAGGTGGGCATTCCCATAAGGCTGTGACGTCACGTGAAAACTATGAATAGCAGTTGGTTCATAACATTGGCAAATGTTGACCTCTGCAAATGTTTTAAATCGAACACAGTTTCTAAGCTCAAAAGCATTTCTCTGCATCACCTCCGAGAGCTGTTCCTGTACCTTTCTGTGCGTCAAACATAAATCTTGCGATCTAGGATTTCCTCTAACAAGTGTGATTTTATCTCAGTGTCATGTTGTCAGAATCTGCAGTGAGTTCAATCCCCCAAAATAAATGAATTGGCTGTGGCTGCACGCTTTGCCAGAAAGACAGGCGAGTTCATTTAATCTGATTTTGTCCGTCTATTTGAAGGTATCTTATAAGCAGTTTAATAGATTGCCCTTCTTGCTGAAACAATTTTCATTTCCTGACACCTCCTGTTTTGAGAAATGGACATGGCCGGAAACTATGTTGCTGTTCGCAATTGACACAAAGCTCAATCCCCTTCATTACAGGAGGTGGAAATTTTAGATTTGTCCTCAGGGGTCCCTGTCAGGCGCTGAGGAAAGCCAGATCAATGAGGCCTCAGCATTGAAAGGGTTGTGAAATCAATCTGCCTCTGGAGTTTTAGCCTTCTGCTTTAAAGGCACAATATGTATTAAAATATCCAAAAACCACTAGAACAGTGTTATATATTTTGCTGACTTGTGTACTTACAAAATCGAAACATCCCAAATGTTTCGAAGAATGTTTAAATCCAGAGAAATAAGCAATTTTGACTAGTTACACGGACCGTGTCCATAGTGTCATTGTGTCGACTGCCAATGACTCGGCGTCATCAAACTAGGCCTTTGTCTAGTTGTTTATTTTGAATACGCGCCCTCTAGCGGCGAAAATTACATATTGTGCCTTTAAGCCGAGTAATGCACTCTCACAACAACTACTCTCACGACAACGGCAGGCTCTTGGGAAAAACATTTGTAAGAATTTGACAAATACATTAGTATGTGCCTTGCATCAATACCTGCCTCATGCATACATGCTTGCTACATCTTCAGATATGAAGCAAACAAAATCAATACTTTGCATGAACAGCCTGAGAGGCTTTAATATTATGTTTTCATAGTATACTGTGACATGAAATGTTTTGAGGGCGAAATGCAACATGGCTATTAACAACAGCGTGTGCGCTGAGGATTTAACTGTAAAAGGCGGTTTTTGATAAGTAACCAATTGAAGGCTTGTGACAGGCTTTGCCTTTAGGGGGAAATGGCTTTAACATTAGCTTATTAAAATTATTCATGAGGAAGTTGCGTTTAATGCGGACTCCCACACCTGTCGTTATTGAAGCAGCGATAAAAGGTTTAAACTGAGGAATGTATTAGTTGTGGATTCAGAGGGCCTGACTGCAAAAAAAAGCGCTACCGCCCTAAACCTAATAGTAGGATTAAAATGCAAGTTTGACTTTGGCTGAATATCAGGAGCATCCTGCTGGATAAACAGATTCATAAAGTAGTAATTGACATTACAACAAACTAAAAAAGACCAGATTCATACCAATAAAGCAATAAGATATTTTTTAAGCAGCTTATTTATTACACATCCTCTTCTCCAGCTCGTCCAGGCCAATTATTATCCACAATGGATAATTTCATGCTGTATTGCTTTCTATTGTATTATCTTCATTATAAACCACATTGGAGCAGACACATAGTACTGATTGAACCCAGAATATTACCGAAGTGTACACATTTTATCTCGAGATTAGTCTGAATCTATTTTTAGCAGAACTGCTGAGGATGTAGATGAGAGGAAGTAGATTAGATGGAATTGCTCTTGGAAAATAACACTCTTTTAAGCCCAAAAAAGGGCATGCGTGGCAGTCAGAAACACATGGCTAACTCTGCTAACCTCACGGAGGTGTTCAGAGACACTAGGATTGCCATTGTGACAAATTCTAGTAACCTAAAAGCACTGGGAGCCCATCTTCGCAGACTTTTCGCTTAAGGTGCGAAGAATTTGATATTATTTTTATGGTGCTAACCTATGTGTCAATCAAAATGTTGTTTGCAGTGGCAGTAGTGGTCGCAAGAAGGAAAGTGGAATTTCCTCTATTTTTACATTACCCTTGTGATGATATAACACACACACTTAAAGGTAATCTGTATAACATTATTTTAAATGTAATTTTAAATCTGCCATTTAGTGGTTATTTGACATAACATGAAAATAATCTTCATTTTGCTTTTCTTGGTTTTGTATCTTTAGACCCTTCAATCATATATCTAGTACATATCTTCAGATTAATGGTTTGTTTTGACTGTTTTTTTATCACCAATAAAGCTACTCTACTCATAAACAATTACATATAGGCCTTCTGAACTAGTTGTTTTGTGGAACGTGATATTATTCCTTAATCTAGGCAGAAAGTTGCTGCCTAAAAACAACAGGATAACACGGAGTGCTTTGAAATGGCATGTACTTCTCTCCTCTTGTCAGGCGTTCTCCATCCGGGCCTGTCAGCTTGACTCCCCCTCCTGACAATCAAAGTAAAGAAGAGAAAAAGCAAAGCTAATGTCTCCCTGTCCAGAGGGCTGTTTTTTCTTGCAAGTGTATCTGCCTGTTTATGCTAATTCAAAGCATGTCAACATTCATTAAACGTTTCAGCGTCTTAGGAAGTAATTAAGTGTAGCCAAATCCAAAACACATTGTGACACAAAACACAAATAAAGCAAAACAAATTTGTCTTTCCGTATCTTCCCATCAGGCGAAACCACGGCAGGTGATGACACATTTCTGAGATACCAGGCAATGTTTTTGCTTGTACACTGTGACCAATTGCAGAATATTTTCCCTCTTATCACACTTCTGAATTATTCAAATGTGTGCAAGTAGGATAGCTTGCTATAGGGAAATTTGCTGTGTCAGAAGTGTAAAATTGTCCTGCACAGTGAAAAGGCAGTCAGTGGCTCTGCTTTTATAAAGTGCTACATTATATAACAATGTATGAAAATAGGTGGATGATCGAGGATCCCACAGTTAAAGATCGGCACACTTAAATGATAGTGACCATGCAATGCTAACATGGTCACTCACAATGAGCTATTATAGTGTCTTGTTTTGTTTTATTTCTCAGTGAATTGGGTGTGGTGTGTGTATAGCAGGGTTCCTCAATTAGTTTTCACCGAGGGCCGAATTCTGCCAATAATACCTGCCATGCAAATCAACTGTTCCTGCACATTCCCAGACTGGATCTCTTCTCTCCACTTTCCCTAATTGCAGATTCAATTATTAGATTTGTCAGTATTAATATTTTTATGCTCTGATTTTTTTGGGGGGATCAAACTGTAACACCGTGTGTCCCAGACACGACGCGATAAAAAGTATCTTTTCCATGTAGTTTTTGTCCTAACCATCTGCAACAGCGACACGTGACAATAAGCGACGTGGGATTCTATTTTAGGAACGGTTTTTATTTTCTGTGACGTCGCGGCAGGAACATACAAAATATGACAGTGATAATCTCAGGTAATGATTATGTGCTTTATTCAATGTTAAAAGTGTCTAATGTGCGTTTGAATATTATTCTTTATAGCCATAGTGAAAGCAACAATAGATTTGACCTCAGATCTTGAAAATAAATTAAAGCAAACTTGTACGTTAAAACTGAACTCAATGCGAACCAACACATGTATTCCATAACAAAGATATCAGTCACTCAAAACTGTTCAGTCCATTCACATTTGAATCATCTAACTTCATGTCCACTTTTCTTTTCTACACACTCGCCATGTTTTTGCTGTCTCATCGTATCTACACTGGACGCGACAAAGCATTGCAAATCATTTGAACGTTGTGTCAGTACGTTATAAATAGAACGAGTCAGCAGTTTACTGTCGGGGATCGTGCCGCATCCAAGACAGCATCACTGATTATAACGAGTTCTTGTATTTTATTGCGTCGCGCCGCTCGCGTCCGATGTAGACACGATGTAAG